AGATAGATGATAGATAGATAGATAGATAGATAGATAGATAGATAGATAGATGATAGATAGAAGCTACTTTTGAGAATTTCCTTAAGTGCACATGAAAAGCAATACATTTCCAAGAGATTTTTTGCCTCCTAAATTGCAGTTCTCTTTCCTTTATGGTCATCTGCCAGATTGTATTATAGTTGCCCGAAATCACTGACCTACTATAATTAGCATAATGAAGAAAATACCTTCATAATGACAAAAACAGCATCAATATTGCACCAGAAATATTCAGCAAGCACCTTTCTACACATGAAATTTGGGTGGCTTGTGCTGGCCTTTATCCAAAAATTTAGATTGTGCCTAGATGCTCTGGAGCCAACAGATACAATAGAAATTCCCAAAGTATCAATTACAGATGACTCATGCTCTGCATGGTAAAAGGGCCTTTCTTTGAAGAAAGAACTATTTAGCTTCCATTATGAGTGCATTTTTTACACTTTATGAGCCAGGCCCTGTGTCTAGGTGCATTTTTCAGAGAGCTAACAGACTAACAGATACAGAGCAATTAAGTAACCATTTATAAACTCAGAGTGTGTTTAAATCCAAGTGAATGTGGTTTGATACTAAAGAGAGGTCAGATGAAAGAAAAGATGAAGCCACCAATGGGCAACAGATTGCAGTCTTCATCTCTGTGGAGTTAGAGCTCCCTTTTTAAATACAAGAACAGGGACCTCTATTGGATAAATGGAGAGGTACAGACCTTGCAATATGGGTTTTGGCTAGAAATTCCTATAGACTTGTACTTCAAGGGCCAACATGAAATAAATTATGTTGAAAGGAATCTAAGGGCCAAGCAACATAGAGAGATTTGCCGTCATAGTTCAGATGAACAGATAGCTCCAACCAGTACCATTCATAGATCCGAGTGTATGAGGGTCCTTTAGATTCCTTGGCCAGGGTCTTAGGAAACCTCACACTATTATCCCTCTCTGGTGTCTGGGAGAGTCTAGGGCTGGCCATGCTATCTGGGCAGGACACTCTTAGCCAAGAAGCCAAGATTTGGGCCTGTGTGGGTCTAATCACTGAAAGCACTGATTATTTTATTTTATTTTACTTTATTTTATTTTATTAATTATTATTATTATTTTTTTACCTTTCAGACCCTGGGACAAACCAGGGAGGCAGTGCCATCTGGGCATGGTGCCTGATCCAAGCAAACCATGTGGATTTGGGTCCCTCTTTCTCCCCTTCAGAATGTACCTTGACCCTCTTTCCCGTGCTTGGGGTCAACCAGATATCTCAGGGAGCCCAGAAACTTACACCCATGAGGTTGTTCTGGGCCAGTGGCCCAACTCTGGTTGTAGGAGGGTGATCTGACAAGTGAATCACTCACTCCTGCTGTCTGGAATGCTATTGTATGATGTTGGACCACTAGATTGTTGTCCCGCTGATGTGGGGTTACTCAAAATGTTTACATAGAAAATGAGGTGGAAAAAATATTTGAGTGGGACCCTCACATCCTAGGAGTGGTCCTGTGTCCAACAATTTCAACTAAAAGACCTCACCAATGTAAGTGTGCTTAGTGATATCCTAGAGAACTTCATTGAGGGCAAGAATTTTGACTTGGGCATTTGCATGCACAACTACTAGATGGCCACTGCCAAATGATAAGCAATTTATTATCTGAGTAATCCATTGAATCATGAAACTCAAGCCTTCAATGTCTGAGTGTCTCATGCCATGAGAGAGTGGAGAGTTAATGATGCTCTCTTCACATTCCTTTTTTTTTTTTAAAGATTTTATTTATTTGTCATAGAGGGAGAGAGAGACAGAGAGCAAGCACAAGCAGGAGGAGCGGCAGGCAGAAGGAGAAGCAGGCTCCCCGCGTAATAGAAAGGAGCCCAATGAGGGACTCGATCCCAGGACCCTGGGATCATGACCTGAGCTGAAGGCAGCTGCTTAACTGACTGAGCCGCTCAGGCATCCCTCTCTTCACATTCCTAATGAACCTCCCATAGAGTGAGTAACCCCTAGCTTCCACAGGCTAGCGTTTCATATCAGGGTCACTCTTGCCATTTTAAGGATAGGCTAAAGGATTTTCTACTCATTAAAGAATTTAGAATCCTTGTTCCCTGCCCAATATGTATCAGTTGCCCTTTGCAGTCACTGTGACATTTGAAAATGTGCCTCCCTCAACATATGCAAAAATTAATTTCCTTCTGGAGATTGGTACTGTCTTCAGTTTAGAACCATCAGTATAGAGAGAGCTGTCCAACAGAAATATAATTCAAGCCACAAATGTGAGTCACGTATGTAATTTTTAATTTTCTAGTAGCTACATTAAGTAAAAAAAAGACCATTGAGATAAGTTTTAATATTTTATTTAAGTCAATATACCAGAATATTTCAACATGTAATCAACATAAAATTATTAGATATCTTATGTTCTTTTGCATTATGTTTTCAAAAGCATATGTGTATTTTATACTTCCAACACTTAATTTGGACCAGCCACATTTCAAGTGCTTCGTAGCTCTGTATGACTAGTGAATAAAATGTTAGTATAGATAAACAGACAGATTCGTAAAGTCCACATAGCCATATGAACCCACTACTACCTGGACAAGAATAAGGCAGACACTCTCCAGAGTCAGATGATCATCCACAGAGTAAGAGTTCATCAGCTGGTTTGGCTTAGATCATTCTTACCAATAGCTGGAAACTGAATTTTCCTGGATCAGTTCTATGAAAGAAGGTTCTCATCCAGAATTATTTTAATTGGGCTAAAAAAATGCACCTGATTAGACTTTTGCTCCTGCTTAAGGGTACTGTCCTACATGTGATCCTTAAAAATAATTTTACCTACTATGGCCATAAATGTTATTTTGAAAGAGGATATAGCTGTAATTCTCTATTAAATGCTCTATTCAAAGGATATTAGATTTTGAAGTATTCAGAGTATTTCCAAGCTCCTCATGCTTTTTATTTTTATAGTTTTATTTATGAGAAACAAATTCTAATATCTTTTTTTTCTGGGTCAAGATTTGACTCACAATATTCTTCCAGAGCTGTCTTTGTTTCCCTCCCAGAGATACCATTTATTTTAAAATGTTAGTTTTGCTAATTAAAATGGGTTCTTGAAAAAAAATTGAAATCATAATTTAGATATTCTTTGCTCAGAAAAAATAGAAAGCCTGATTCATACAACCACTCAGTGGTTTTATTTAATGGGTCTACCTCATCAATCTCTATGTCCCCATCTGGACTGATCAAGAATTTTGTAACTTTTAAGTGAATCATTCATTTCCATTTCCATTTCCATTTCAAGAGAACAATTTTATTGTTACTTGCAGACTGTGAATAATAATTTATGGATATACAGTAAGGCAAGTACACTGATGAGAGAAATAAATGAAAATACCCACTCACTGTGCATAAATGGAAAATCTCACATTTAAAATAAATCACCCCCAAGAGTCCTTCATTCAGCTAGTGGATGCTTTTCCTAATGGTACCAACAATGACATTCTTTCATAATAAAAATTATTTAAGTATTAATTACACATGTGCATAATAATAAAATAAATTTTGGTACTCAGATTCAAAATTATTGACTAGATCTAGACAACAGTCACTGTTTTCAATTAAAGAGGACTTTGTTACAATTATACAGTTCAGTAAAAGAGTTACTAGGCTATGAGATTAACATTTATGCCAATGCTGCAGAATTTATAGCATCAAGTATTATAGATTGTTCGCTAAAATAAATTATGAAAAGCAGTAACAACAAAATTTGTCACTGGTGCTTTAATAAGATATTTCATTTCACTAGAAAAACCATAACCTGGTCAAGCCCTGCAAATGTGAAGTTGGGAAATTACAATGACAGAATAGTAAAAATTGGCTTTAATAATTTTATTTATTGATATATTGGTGATATTTGTGTGTGTGTGTACGTGTGTGCATGTGTGTGTAGTCTTTGTAAGGGTTAGTATTAGCTTGAGTCTTTCTACCTAATCTTGAGCTTAACTGGAATTTAAATCCCTTACACTTAAAAAATATGTATACCTTAACCCACTTAAAAGTAGTGAACATTTTTTCATGTACCTTGGCTTCATGTTTTCTTGCATGCAGTAAATATGAGAGAAAACAGAGCCCAGGATTAAGTTCTCATTTTTCAATTGTAACAAGAATTTATTAATTAATTATATGTTTATGGATCCTGAATGAAATAACTGCATTGTAAAATGTGTAATTCTGTGTTTGATGCCCAACATACTTTTTTTTCTTCTTCCTTTCCCTGCAAGGTTATGTATATTGCATATTTTCCAGCGCCAATAAAAATGACACTAAACTAAATAATCTATGGCTTGCTGAGTAAAAGCAGTTCTTACTAAGATATTTTGAAGACATGATTTTTTCCAGATGTCATTATAAAATTTACAAAACAAGAGAAAACCTGCCAGAACATAAGCAGTTCTGGAAGTAGGGCTTATACTGAAGGATATAGGAGTCAGCTACGTGAGGAAAAGATGATTCCAAAAGCAGGATATGAAAAATCTTTAGATATCAGCAAATGCCTCTACATTCCCTTGGCTTGGAATTGAAGACATGCACCTGATTGGGTTCATTGGGCTATCATTTATCCCATTATATATAAAATATGTCACATTTTTCAAATGTTGAAAGAAACCTCACGCACTACACCCATATTTGCTCTTGTTTTTCGTAAGAAGAAAAAAGGACCTTGAAGCTCGCAGACTGTATTTATCCATGTATTTATTATGTATTATGTTGCTGCTGGGTGCAGTTGAATAGGAGGCTAATAGGGTACCTTTTCTTTTCATTCTCTCAGTGTTTGTTCATTTATGTACCCCTGCCATTTTACACATGTTGGGTTGGAAATATAAAGACGATCTGAGAAAGAAAAAAGAATACGTGGTATTGAACTGTTGATCAACTAACTTTTAAATTGACACAATGTATCCAACCTAATATGAATAGTTACTTCTTCACAGGAGGCTTTATGGAGACTGAGGCTGCCGCTCAGGAGTCCCTGGGGCTAGGCAAACTTGGAACTCAAGCTGAGAAGGATAGAAGACTGAAGAAAAAGTAGGTTTGGAGATTTTCATCTTCCTTTTTCTAGCTTTTACTGACTCTTTCTTATTTGTGGGGAATTAAAAAGACAGTAGTTGGAAACAATAGACCAAGGCCACTGTTGTCCTAGTATTCCCTAAAACTACTCAATGCTGGAATTTCCTGGTTCTACTGAGCTACAGTTTGAAATAGGTATACAACTCTTTGGCCTATAATAGAAATAAACAGTTTATTCTAAGAGACCAATGCATTTATTGGCAAAACTCATATATATTTAAAGTATTTAAGTGTAGCCTCGTAAGTAATATAATAATCTATTTGATGTTAAATCCAGTACTGAATTGGTATATGATAAAATGAGAAACTATACATCCAACTTTGTGTTTCCTCTTACAACAATTAAAGTACCTCCTCTTAAATTGGAGTATTTAAAAGGAGAATTTCTCTGACTGATTGAACATAAACTTATTTTAGACCCAGAGCAGATTGTTTTGCATCTGTCAGGAAACTGATAGTGTATCTTTTTCATTCACATATAGTATGGAACATTTAAGTGACTTGCAAAATTGGCAAATTTTGAGTCTCAGCAGCTGTTAGAAAGCTAGTGGGTCTATAAATAACATATTTTTAAAATACAAAATAGCATTTTCAGGGATGAAATAATACCTATAAAACATGTTCTCTAAAAGCCAAAGGATTTCGGTATTCCAGAATCTGTCGGTTGGTTACCCCTTTACCTCTCCTCCCTCTCAAATATTTGTTTGTAGTTTTCATGTTTACCTTATTTCCTATGAAATAATATTCATTGCTCTAGTTACCACTATTATAACAGGTATGCTCATATGGTTATAGTATTTGAGATAATCAGTTGACTCCATATTTTGTCTTCTCATTTGCTTTACAGATGTTTACTAATAATGAGGAAATACAGACTTGCAAGTTGTAGAAGAGCTCACTAGCCTAATTATTTCATTAATTTTCCACTTATTAAAATTATGTATGTATATATATATATGTATCCAAATTTAATAGAAACACTGTGTAGAAATAAAGAAGTGACCTTGAGAGCATTATTTCTTAAAAACAACCAAATGCTCGGTTGCATTCAGTAGCAATAAATATTTCTTCTTTCATTACTGATCACTCAAAAATATAATTAAATATTATCACAATCTGTTCGAACTCTCTTAATTTTATTCATTACTATCAAGGAATGCTTTATTCAATTTTATGGCTATTTACTGAGAAAAAAATTCTTCTAAAAATCTCTTTTGATAGATTCTTTAGAATTTATTTCAAGTCTAAAGAACTTCCAATTTTATTTATTTAAAATTATTTTAAGTCTAAAGGAATAAGAGTAATTAAAACCCAGGCTGGCTAATAAACTTGGTTTATTTCACTTAAAAGTTAATTTTCATTTTTTCTATAATGAAATATTTATATATAATGGCAACTTGACCAATTTTCACATTGCGAAGGGTGATATTGAGGCAAGTAATATATGTCGTTGGTTGTTTATGGAACCAAGTATGTCTTTTTTAACAGTTACTAAAGTTAAACATTTCCAATTATGCAGTGATTTTAAGACTAATATATTTAAAATTTATTATTAATTTTAAACACTGTTGGGTTAACTTAATGTTAATTTTATGGAATTATTTCTCAAATCCTAACTACCCTCATAGTCAGAAACTGATTTTAGTTCTAGATTTGGTTTGAAGATTTTACTATACTTGACTTTTGAGTTCTATTTTGCAAAATGTTTTGGCAAAATATAATTTTAAAATGTATTAAATAAAATATTTGTATTTAATATTAAGAAGAATATTAAGAACATTCTATAATATAATAAAGGATAACATTTCTCAGTACATTTCCTATAGGATAATGGTATTTGGGTTAAAATGAATCCAACAAGGCAAGGCAGAGTTGATTAATGGAAGAACAGAAGTATTTCTGTTATTATTGATTATTCCATGGCAAGTACCTCAGGAGTATAAATATGTAACCAGTATTTATGAGACACTTATAAGTGCTAACCCTTATTCAGGACTTGAATGACACTACACCTTGGTTTCTGGATTACCGAAGAGTGAAGTGTCTTCATGTAATGAGTTTTATAAGTTAGACAAGATCAATTATTTCATGTTTATTGGTCTTTCAAGATGGATAAGAAATTCAGGTACATTTTACTGAAAAATGAACTAAAGCAAAAATGGAGCAATTTCTTTGAAAATATTGAACACTATCGGTTTATGTGCATAGTTGGAATGACTGTAGTTGTAAATGTTCCTCACTGTAGTTGTTGCTGTATGTTCTATCCACTGACCAAGCCAAATGATGTTTCCAGGACAAAGTACTTAGCTTAGGCCTATGTTCACTGTCCCAAAGTTTATATCAGAGCTTCATTAGTCTCAGTGGGAATAAGCAGAGCTAAAGAAAAATAAAAATCTTCTTTTCAACTTTACTAGTATATCAGGTATCTACAGTTGACAATCTGTGAATTGAAATTTAATTGAGAGAAATGTTATCTCAAGAAGTTAGCTATGACACATTTTTTAAAAACCATATGTGGGAGATACTTTCAGAGAACAGCACTCAAGATATTCCAAATTCTTGCAAAGTTCAGAAATTTGTAATGTTGGCAGTCCCAAACAAAGGTCTAATTTGAGGCACATTTCCCATCCAACAAATTAAGCACACGTAGGTTAGAACAGCTTACTGGGTCTGGGTCCCTACTTCATTCTACTTTTACTTCGCTTTGGATGTAGGAATGTGTTTTTTCTTGTATTTCTCGTTATTTTCCTATGATTAGACATAGGACTGGTACAATAGCGGATCTTCTAAAGCACCCACTGTTCAAGAAAATCTTGTTGACCTTTCCCTTCCTGAGTTGGATCTTACCATGCAGGTGCTATTCGATCAGAGCACCACCTTATCTAGGCCTGAAGCCCATCTACTATTGTTCTGTCTGGTTTGCTTTTACTATGCCTTATCTTTGCTGTTCTTTCCTTTAAAGCTTTAATTACATTAATTGTTCCGGTAGGTTTATATAGTATACAGTTAATACCTACAATAATTGTGTAAAATTGAAACTCATCTAGTAATTCTTCAAGTACTTCACATTAATTTCTGGTCTTCCCCGCTAAAATTGAACAGTTTTTCTGTAGCCTCATGATACAGCTCTCCTAATCTTTAAGCACTGAGTCACTTATTCTCAGTATGTTCTCTCCACATTAAAATTGTGATTCTCATAGTTTTCTTGATGTGGGCTCCTTCTGGAGTATCACAGCTCTCTGAGATCTTGTCCATCATCCTTTGTTTGATTTCAATGGACTCCAGGTACCTTCTCTAACTTAACACATACTAAATGGCATCTCCATTTCTAAAATTCATAAAACATTATGAGCAACTAGCCCTGAGAATTTCACCTCTCCCCTTTTATACCTGTCACCCTGATCTTTAGGAACTTATTCCTCCTTCTTAGCTCTCCAGCCAATGTTTTAATCTAAGATCTACAGCTACTTGCTCAAGATGGCCAACTAAAGCCAGCCACACAACTACAAAAGGTAACTGGGGCATGATAGAAACTATTGCAAGGTCATAAACTTACATGGTCTGGCCCATCAAAATCTGAATTTCTTTTTATTGTTGTTTTGTCTGAGCATAATAATTTTATTGAAATATAATTAACATACAATGTTTTATTAGTTTCAAGTGTACAACATATTGATTCAACAATTATGTAGCTTATGCAGTGCTGAATTTCTAAATGTTCTTTAACTCCCCAAATTTTCCTTAGAGTTTAGATGTGGGTCTTTTAGGACCCAATAACTAGAAACTGTTCTTCACCTAAGTTTAGAACCTATTTGATAATAGACAAAGGAGTCAGGCAATTAGAGATCAAAATGTCAACTTTATTACCAATCGAGCTATTAGAATATGACTTACGAGTATGGCAAAAATGGGGGTTTCCCAAAACTGAAGCCCAGAATTAGAAAAACTTAACCTGACATGGAAAGAGCTGGATTGTCACAAGCTTCCAAAGTGTGCAATTCCCACCTCTCCTAAAAATAGAATCAATAATATTATGATTCTGTAAATGTGTCTCTCTAGAATCAAGGACTATGAACTCACAAGGAAGGAAATGAAATTTTATGTCATTAGCATCTAAAAGAATTTTCAAAGTTTAACATTTCAATGTTAAATGTATTAATATCTCATCATACTTCTTGCCTTTATTTTCCTGGAATATACATAGCTGACAATTTCCCATCACCATTTCTAGAAATATGATGCTAGGGTGTATGGCAATCTCCCTGAGTTTTTAGAGAATCTGGAAATATATTTTACATATAAAATTAGTTAATAATTGCCAAAAGTGAAAATCAAAGTGATTTTCTCTCAAAACTTTAAAGGTACTGTCCTTCTTGCTTCTAGTTATATTTAATACCAATTGATTGTCATTCTTTTGTATATAACATGTAGGGTTTCTTTTCTCTCCCTGAAAGTTTTAAGATTTTTCTCTTTATCTTTGGGGTTCAGAAATATCATAAGTATTTCTAGTCAAATACTTTTTGTTTCTTTTTTCTGCTTTATACTTGCAATCTGAAGACTAGTTAGTCTGGCCTGTTTTACATGTATTGACTTAAAAATTGTTCACTTCTAGACTCGGCTTTAATTCCAAGAAGCTTATTTTTAGAGACTTACAAGATTAAAGATGAAGTTGTCTGTTTCAGTAGTAATACACTGGTTTAACACTCTCATGACAATCCCTGATAGGCAGCTAACATATTAAAATTGACAGAATACCCTGTGAATGGTTACTTATCTCTAGAAATATAAATTCTGAAATCTTCATCTTAGTTTTTATCTGTGAATTTTCCTCCTGCATTTTTACACTATATAATTTTTTACTGAAATGTGTGCATACTGAGATCTTTTGTATCTTGAGACTTAAATTGAAAAATCTCATATAAATATTAATATACTAATTTGTCATTTTTGATCTTTAG